GACCGGAAGCAGTCAGTTAACCAGCTCACTCAGATTATCAAATCTAAAACAGTCTCGAAAGCTCATTACTCACCTATGGTCGAGATGAAATTATCATCATCTTTGAATGCAAATTTGAACAATATTTTCGACTTTTCAACACCAGAATCTCCTAGAAGAAGTATCTTGAAGAGGTAATCATAACTCTTATTCGCCATGTTTTTTTCTTGATCGAATTTCCGCAGCGTCATCGATGAGATCTGTCACGTTTCAGGGTATTCCCCTATTAACACTTGTTAGGCGTCTATCTTAATGCTACTATACAAGTTTTTAAAATAATGTATCAGAGGTAATGAAAAAGACGTTTGATTGAATAAATAAATCATTAGTAAAAACATTTTTTTAACTTTTAATATAATCGCAAAAATGAATATRAATGGGCTACCTGTGGAGCAAAAGACTAAAAAGAACTGAGCCTTGTATTACGTCATGTTTAATTTGGCATAGTTTCCTGGAAATTTCCCAGAAATCTATCCGAAAAAGACGTTTTCCTATTCGAACGAATCTGACAAAGGTTTGTATAATACTCTCTTATTCTCTTATTATTTTTCTCTTATTCTCTCTATTTCATTATATACACACTGAACGCATAATTTATTACTACTATAATACTCTCAGTTGAGTGAGTTGGAATAGTTAATAGAGGGGGGAATATAATGCATTGATGTTATACGAGTTGTGACGAGTCTTATGCCKAATTCTCTTGCGGACCAAGCTGTCTGTTAGGTCGAACAATAGCTAATATTACAAATGTAAACAATCTTTATTATTCTGCAATTTCTCCTTGAACAAAAGAACTTTCCTTATTTTAGGCCATATATAGTGTTTATCAGATGAATTTACATCAAGAAGATGTTATGGCTTACCTCATCCGTGAAGAACTCATCCCTCCAACTCCTGCGGATCATCTCCAACCTCCATACTACATCAWACATGTTAAGTTCCGTGGGATGGAAATGGTCGAACCTTTATCCTACGAAAGACTCCAGAACAACCTTATGACGCAGTACCTCATATCTACCGATGGTCCACAGGTTATTGATAGACTCATGACAGTATCCTTCAAACAGGAGTACAGAGATCAACCCGACTGCTCCCAGGAGGTCTTGAAGAGGGGGGTTGCGTTAAGCGGAGCGATGTTTCGTTTCCTGGG